ACCAATAATTTACTTTTTGAGAGCAGGCTTTTTTGTCTTTTGGGATTTTTTTTTGTTTTGTTGTTGTTGATGTTTGTTTTTTAAACTTTTGTGACTAAGTTCCTGTGGTGTTTTCAGGAATTGTGATGCAAAACACATTATTTTGCCATTTGTGATGGTCACATAGAGCATCACTTACATCAGGAAAGCAGTCTTGCTTGATTGATGCTGAAGAGTACTAGTACAATTTGCCATTTCTTTCTAGTGGTTTTCGTTAACGTAACTTGAGGAAGATATCCTGGACGTGAATCTTATTTTTCTTACAGCATTTCAGTTTGCCTGGCTTTGCAAGTCTGCAGTAGTCTACATTTTACATAGTTAATGTTTGTTTCCTTTATTATTAGTGAAGAAAAAAGCACTTTTTCAGCACAATTAAAATGAGATATAAACACCTACTTTAGGATAAAGTGAATCGTGCTAGCAGAGTTTTCTCTCTCTTGATGATAAAGGAAGTGTAGAATAACTAATTGACTTTAGATGTGTAAAGTTCAGCGAGATGCATCTGGTCAGCAGACCTCATATGATATCAGTGAATCCATCTAGCCAGCAGACTAGTGTTGAATTTTGGGCTATGCCTGTAAGCACAGAAAGAAATAGGAAAGTATAAAAACATTAACCAGGGATGTCACAGCTGTCCTGTTTATATTGGAATGGAGTTTGGATCCTGGATCTCATTCTTCACTTTAAACTCCTGCAGCAGACTGAGGTCTGCTCCCTCTTATGTCATAGTTTTTCATCTGCTTCCCAGCTTTACCTTCCACTTTCCTGCCACTGCTGCTTGTGTAGTGTATGTAAGAAGAAATGAGGCTCTGGAAGAAAAATCACAGAAGAGGAGTCATGTATGGTTTAGCATCTGCAGTCAGAGTACCTGCACGTAACTTTAGAAAAATTCCATATGGGGCATTTTATTTTTTAATTAACTAAAAACTCTTATAAGTAGTTTGATAAATACCTTACAGCCAAATTTGCACATTATGTCAAATGCTCATTGATTCAAATTTCTGTGTGCACATTTTCAGTTCTTTGATATTTGAAACATACTGAAGCTTATTTGTTGTATTCTTAGAGGGAAACTTGTAAGTTTTCTTGAGAGTGGAGGAGGCAGGCTCAGCAAGGGTAAAGTATTGGATTTTGTATATTGTACAGTAATCATACTATGTTACTTTGAAAATATTTCTGTTTTCCCATAGAAGTGGGTTGATGGTGGCCTTACCAATGGCCTTCCTATCTTGCCTTTTGGAAGAACTGTGACGATTTCCCCTTTCAGTGGTCGATTAGATATCTGTCCACAAGATAAAGGGCGTGTGGACCTGTATGTTAAATTAGCAAAACAAGATATGATGGTAAGTTGCGTGTTTATTAACTTAAAAACAATAAAAAGTACTTTTGCAGTTGCATTCATATTTGTCTCTTTTGTGCTTATATGTCAGCTTACATAAAATTTTGTCATTCTCTGTTTTGCAAATGCAGCTTAAACCTTTTCTTAAACACAAGGAAAGCAGAATAATAAAGAAGGAAGTTTGAAAAGCATTGATCTAGTACAAAACAGATCAAATTATAACAGGCTGTTCAGTGTAAATAATACTAGGTTTGCTTTACATATTTGTTATCTTAGACTAGGCAAGATGTATATAGAAAAAAAAAATTGAATGCCTCAGGAGAGGACAGCTGCAGAACATTTCTTCATGCTGACTGAAATCAATTGCTCTAACTGAATTTAAAATACAACTTTAAGTTGTACATTTAAAATGGTATATACAGTGACTTGTATCTACGTTGCATGAGAGAGCTTTTGAACATTTTTGACTACAGTGCATTTCCAGAAGTTTCATTAGAATTTGCAGAAACATTTCTGTATGTTGAAATATGAGACTGATTTTTATTGCCTACTTTTCATCGTTGACATCTGTCTTTGCAACCTTTGTCTCACAAACACAGGTTTGCTTTCTTCAACATGCTGAAGGAAAATACTGAATAGTGATAGACCTAGTGGTCAACAATATCCCATTAAAGATTAACAGTAATATGTACTTTATAAAGCTTCTTTTCTAGGCAGTTTTTAATGTTTTCTTAATTTCACTAAAATTAGTGTTATGTAATACCTTTCTCAATTGGACCAATTTTTCAATCTTTATCATTTTTCACATAGAGATATTAAGCATGATAGTGCTTGGTGAAGATGATAAAGTACAAGATTATTGATTTACTATATCTTGCAAACTTATGCAATAATTGTATATTTCTTGATTGTACTTTGCATCTAGAGGATGAAAAATGACCTGGTGATTAGTTTAGTTTAGAGATAGACACTAAATTGCACAGTCACATTGCTTCCGGGGTCACACGCAGACTTCTGCAGAATCCCGGGCAACGTTTTAAATTATTTGAATTGAAGCACCTCTGCTTTTAGAACTGTAAAAATTATTACTAAGAATAATTTCATTTCAGCAATATTGTAATCTGATATATTGAGGAGTTGTACATCTTCATTTATCTATATTGGAGTGTTAATAATTTACTCTCTCTCCATCTCATCTCCATCATCATCCATAATGTCAGAATTTGTATAATTGCTTACTTCAACTAATGAAGATTATTTTGATACTGTTTTTCAAAATTCTTTATAATAATGTGGTTAAATATTAATTATATAAAGAAATTGTTCCAAACATTATTAAATATAATTATATTTTTAATCTGTTGTCTTTAAGAAAAATGCTCCAAAATCTTTTTACATGATCAGAATGACCACTTAAGATGCTGAGTAGCTCTTAATTTGTTGGTAGTACAAGCTACGTTTATACTCATATCTGAAACATTGCCTGGGAGTGTTCCCAAGAATGTGGTTGTTTGCACTACTAAGTTGTCAAAATATTTCCTTGCACAAATTTAACTTGTGCCAGCTAACTCTGCAAGACAGTTTTGGGAGTGTTTCCAAAGCTAAAGTGTTTTAGAAACTTTGGACTGTTTTGCAGGCAGACAGTCTGTCTTGGATGCTGTGAGTTTAACTCTGTTTGTGCCAGTTTGTCCTGGTGCTCAGCAGTGACCCTGGACGTGGTTAGTTCTGGTTTAGACACAGCTATACTGAACTTTTCATTTTACATATGCTTCATGAAACAGATGACAGAACACAGATGACAGTCACATCTAGATAAGTTGCATTAATAAACTAATTTACAGCTTCTTGCTCTGTTGCAGCTGTCTCTGGCCAACCTAGTAAGACTTAATCAAGCTTTGTTCCCACCAGACCAGGAGAAAATGGAATCGTTGTACCAAAATGGCTTTGACGATGCTGTACGCTTTTTATTGAAAGAAAACTGGTTTGAGTAGATGGCTCATAGAAAATTAGCAAAACATGATGTCTGTCAAAACACAGCTACAGGCATCCTAGAGAATCTCAGGGATTGCTGCCCCAGTTCCCGTTCATGAAAATAAGAATCCCAATGGACTCGCATCTGCTTCTGCTGCGAAAGTATCAGTTGCACTCCACAGAGCTGTATAAACATGTCAGAACGGGAGCTGGACGTGCCTGGTGGGTGTCTTGTTTTGAGGGGGTTCCACTTAGATTCATTTTGCTTCAGCTGGGGATTTGAGTGTGGGATTTGTAAAAAGCTTGTGTTATA